ATTACCACAGGAGTCGTATTACAAGAAATGCTAAAGGACATCCTTAAGGTAGAATATTACCAGATGGAAATGTGATCCTCACAAAGGAAGGAAGAGCACAGAAATACACGGGTGAGTATGTGAGATTTTCTCCCACTATTTAAGTATATGTTAAACAAAAACAACAATGACGTGCTGTGGATTTATAACACGTAACAGTAAAATGCATAATAACACAGCCGGGCGCGGTGGCTCAAGCCTGTAATCCCAGCACTTTGGGAGGCCGAGGCGGGTGGATCACGAGGTCGAGAGATCGAGACCATCCTGGTCAACATGGTGAAACCCCGTCTCTACTAAAAGTGCAAAAAATTAGCTGGGCATGGTGGCACGTGCCTGTAATCCCAGCTACTCAGGAGGCTGAGGCAGGAGAATTGCCTGAGCCCAGGAGGCGGAGGTTGCGGTGAGCCGAGATCGCGCCATTGCACTCCAGCCTGGGTAACAAGAGCGAAACTCCGTCTCAAAAAAAAAAAAAAAAAAAAAATGCATAATAACACAAAATGAAGGTTTAAAGGGGAGAATCAAAGTATGCTCTTTTAAGAGTAGATTGACAAGTTAAGGTACATGCCATAAACCCTAAAGCAACTCAAAATAAATCAAAGACCTAACTGTAAGAGCTTGAACCATAAAGCTTTAGGAAAAAACTGGTGTACATCTTTGTGACCTTGGATTAGGCAATAGTTTCTTAGATGTGATACCAAAATTATAAGCAATAAAGGAAAAAAAAAAAAGATAAATTGGACTTCATCAAAATTTAAAACTTTTGTGGCACAAAGGTCACCATCAAAAAAGTGAAAAGAGGCCAGGTACGGTGGCTCACATCTAAATACGAGCACTCTGGGAGGCGGAGGGAGGCGCATCGCCTGAGTTCGAGACCAGCCTGACCAACAGAGTGTAACCCCGTCTCTACTAAAAGAACAAAAATTAGCCAAGTGTGCTGGGGCCCGTGCCTTTGGTCCCAGCTACTTGGGAGGCTGAGGCAGGAGAATCACTTGAGCCTGGGAGGCAGAGGTTGCAGTGAGTGGAGATCGCACTACTGCACTCCAGCCAGGGTGACAGAACAAGACTCTGTCTCAAAAAACAAAACAACAGGTCGGGCATGGTGGCTCACGCCTGCAATCCTGACACTTTAGGAGGCCCAGACGGGTGGATCACTTGAAGTCAGGAGTTGGAGAACAGCCTGGTCAATATAGAGAAACCCCGTCTGTACTAAAAACACAAAACTGGCCGGGCGCGGTGGCTCAAGCCTGTAATCCCAGCACTTTGGGAGGCCGAGGTGGGTGGATCACGAGGTCAAGAGATCGAGACCATCCTGGTCAACATGGTGAAACCCCGTCTCTACTAAAAATACAAAAAAAATTAGCTGGGCATGGTGGCACGTGCCTGTAATCCCAGCTACTCAGGAGGCTGAGGCAGGAGAATTGCCTGAACCCAGGAGGCGGAGGTTGCGGTGAGCCGAGATCGCGCCATTGCACTCCAGCCTGGGTAACAAGAGCGAAACTTCATCTCAAAAAAAAAAAAAAAAAAAAAAAAAACACACACAAAACTTAGCTGGGTGTGGTGGCACGTGCCTGCAATCCCAGCAATTTAGGAGGTTGAGGCCCAAGAATGGCTGGAACCCGCAAGGGGGAGGTTGCAGTGAGCTGAGATAGTACCACTGCACAATCTGGGCGACTCTGCAGCCTGGGCGACACAGTGAGACTGTCTCAAAAAAAAAAAAAAAAAAAAAAAAGGTGGCTCATGCCTGTGATCCCAACACTTTGGGAGGCCAAAGTGGGTGGATCACTTGAGGTCAGGAGTTGGAGACCAGCCTGGCCAATATGGTGAAGCCAATATGGTGAAACCCCCTCTCTACTAAAAATACAAAAAATTAGCTGGGCGTGGTGGCAAACACCTATAATCCCAGCTACTCAGGAGGCTGAGGTGGGAGAACTGCTTGAGCCACAGAGGCAGAGGCTGCGGGGAGCGGAGATTGCGCCACTACACTCCAGCCTAGGTGACAGAGTAAGACCCTGTCTCAAAAAACAAAACAAAAAAAATGGCTAAAATGTCCAGAACACACACATCCATATAGGAAATAGATTTGTTGTTTGTCAGGGGCTGGGGAGAGCGGAGAACAGAGTGTGACTGCTAATGGGTACAGGGTATTTTGGAGAGAGACTAAACTGTTCTAAACTTGACTGTGGTGGTGGTTGCACAATTTTGTGACAATATTAAAGAGCATTAATACATTTTTTTTTTCTAAAGATGGGGTTTCACCATGATGGCCAGGCTGATCTTGAACTCCTGACCTCAGGTGATCCACCCACCTCGGCCTCCCAAAGTGCTAGGATTACAGTCGTGAGCCACTGCACCTGGCCGAATAATGCCTTTTAAATAAGTGATTTACAACTGACCCTTGAGTAATTGTGTAGATCCACTCATACACAGAGCTTTTTTCAATAAATATAATCCCTTGGCCGGGCACAATGGCTCACACCTGTAATCCCAACAGTTTGGGAGGCCAGGGCAAGTGGATCACCTGAGGTCAGGAGTTTGAGACCAGCCTGGCCAATATGGTGAAACCCTGTCTCTACTAAAAATACAAAAATTAGCCAGGCATGGTGGCGTGCGCCTGTAATCCCAGCTACTCGGGAGGCTGAGGCAGGGGAATTACTTGATCCCCGGAGGTGAAGGTTGCATGCAGTGAGCCAAGATCGTGCCACTGCAATTGCACTCCAGCCTGGGTGACAAGAGTGAAAGTCCATCTCAAAAAAATATATATAATCCCTCCATATTAGCAGATTCCAAATCCATAGCCAAATGCACACTGAAAACAGTATTCGGCTGGGCATGGTGGTTCGTGCCTATAATTCAGCACTTTGGGGGGCTGAGGCAGGTGGATCGCTTGAGCTTAGGAATTCAAGACCAGCCTGGGCAACATGGCAAAACCCCATCTCTACCAAAACATATAAAAATTAGCTGGGCATAGTGGCACCTGTGGTCCCAGTCACTCAGGAGGCCCAAGTGGGAAAATCGCTTGAACCAAGGAGGTAGACGTTGCAATGAGCCAAGATCATGCCACTGCACTCCAGCCTGGGTGACTGAGCCAGACCTTGTCTCAAAAAAAAAAAAAAAAAAAAAAAAAAAGCCAGGGTGGTGGCTCATACCGGTAATTCCAGTACTTTTTTTGTGAGGCCAAGGTTGGAGGATCACCAGAGGCCAGGAGTTTGAGACCAGCCTGGTCCAACATGGTGATACCCCCATTTCTAATTTTTGTAAACACAAAAATCAGCCAGGGGTGGTGGCGTGTGCCTGTAATCCCAGCTACTCAGGAGGCTGAGGCAGGAGAATTGCTTGAATCCAGGAGCTGGAGGTTGCAGTGACCCAGGATTGCACCACTGCACTCCAGCCTGGGTGACAAAGCAAGACTCTATCGCTCCCCCCAAAAAAGAGGGCCGGGCTCGGTGGTTCACGCCTGTAATCCCAGCATTTTGGGAGGCCGAGGTGGGTGGATCACATGAGGTCAGGCGTTTGAGATCAACCTGACCAACATGGTAAAAACCCTGTCTCTACTAAAAACACAAAAAAATTAGCCAGGCGTGGTGGAGGACACCTGTAATCCCAGCTCCTTGGGAGGCTGAGGTGGGAGAATTGCTTGAACCCAGGAGGCAGAGGTTACAGTGAGCCAAGATCACACCACTGCACTCCAGCCTGGGAGGCAGAGCAAGCCTCTGTGTCCAGTAAAAAGCCAACGAAAAAGGAGGCCATAGGGTGGGCCCTGATCCAGAAGGACAGGTGTTAAGTAGAGATTAGGACACAGACATGCACAGAGGGATGACGAGTGCCATCTGCAGCCCAAGGGAGAGTCCCCAGAAGAAACCAGCCCTGCCCGCGCCTTGACGCATTCCAGCCTCCAGAATGAGAGACAATAACCATGTGTTCTTTCAGCCGCCCGGTCTGTTAGTCTGTTTGTTACCGCAGCCCCGGCAGACTAACGGGGCGGAGGACACACTCACCATCGTGACTGTGGCACCGGCTGCAGGGGCACATGCGCATGTCAAGAATGATCAGGTTGCCCGTGTGAACGTGTACAGTTCATCTCAACAAAGCTGCAAAACCATGTCACCTCCGCAGGGAAATGCCACTCTCACGAAAGGCGAAGGCATACCCAGGCCCTGCCCACATTCTGGATTAAAGGGGACTCAGGTCTCTGCGGCTACAGCATGGGAGTGAACTCACAGCCCAGGCGCCCGGTTCTGCTATAAAGAACAGCACCAGGCCTCGTCACGGCCTCTGCCATCCATTTCTGGGAGTGGCTCTCAGGGTCCAGCGTGGTGCTGATCCCCGATCAGCCAGGAGACTTCCCAGGTTCCTACCCACTCCCCAGCCCCCCAGAGCAAGAGCAGTGGATTTCCTTTACGTCATCTGTGTTTCCAAAGCCCAATACTGGGCATCAGAGAAGCCTAGCTTCACGTCCAAAGTGCCCGGTTAACCCCCTCTCATTTCAGCCCCACCTCCCTCTCATCCCCTCTCCTCCCCATTCACCACACCTGCCCCCTTATCGTGTTTAGACATGGCCAGAGCAGACCAGGAAATCCTGCAGCAGGGTACAGAGTCCAGCAAAGGGCTGGTGGCCTGTGCACCCTGCGGGTTAGCAGAGGACTGCAAGGTGTCATCTCTGTATACCTCTGGGTCCAGCCCGTTTGCCCAACATCTTGACTGAATGCTCGCTGGGTGCCAGGCCAAGTATAAGACTCAGCCAGCAGAACTGACCGTGAGCCCTGGTGGAAGCATCACCGTGGCCACCGGGTGCAGCAGACAGGTGAAGCATGGCGGGGAACAGACCACAGCCCAGAGGTCACTGGGGAGACCCCAGCAGGGAGGCAGCACATTCTGCTCACGGATGCTTTCTGGACGGCACCACCCTCTCTGGGGGCCCCAAAAGCTTTGAGGCCTTGCCACAAAGGATACAAAATTCATACCTTCCTTGGCACAAGCCAGGCCGCCAGATCCCCCGCCAATCACCAGGAGATCATAGTCCCGCTGACCTGCTGTGGGAAGGGATGAGAGGTGAGAAGAAAGGCAGCCAGCACGGGTCTGGGGCACACACCCAGAAGGTCCCCCACAACTTCCAACAGTCTAGCAGCTCTTTGGTTAAACGTGGTGAGGGATCTGTTTTATCAGGATGGGAGACTCCATTCTGTGACGGTCAGGGGTGACGAGGCACCACGCATCAGAGCAGAAAGAGTGACTCCACTCACATCGTCTGTGCAAATCCAGAGATCAAGCCATACGGGGGTGAGGCTGGCCGTGGGTGTGTGTGATCATCTTTGCAAACCATGCTGCGTACACACAGCAGGCCAACTGCTCTGAACTCAAACTTTACCCAGTGTTCCGAATCAAGACACGGAGCTATTTTCTTTTTTATTCTGTTTATTTTTGAGACAGGGTCTCACTCTGTCACCCAGAAGATTATAGTCCCACCGCCCTGCTGGGGAGAGGGATGAAAGGTGGGAAGGAACACGGTCAGCACAGGGCTGGGACACAGACCCGGAAGGGCCCCCATGACAGGAGCACAGTGCGGCAATCATAGCTCACTGCAGCCTCTACCTCCTGAGCTCAAGTGATCCTCTCAGCCTCCAGAATAGCTGGGACTATAGGCACAGACCACCATGTCCACCTAATTTTTGTTTCGTCTTGTAGAGATGGAGTCTGGCTATGTTGCTGAGGCTGGCCTCAAACACCTAGCCTTAAGCAATCCTCCCACCTCAGCCTCCCAAGGTCCTGAGATTACAAGCGTGAGCCACCAAGATGGCCTAAAACATTTCGGAGTCCAGAAGCCTTTCAGCTGTGACGTCTGCCCTCCGTCGCCCTCCGTCGCAAGCGAGCAAGAATAAAAGCACAAACAGCCCCTGTGCACTCACAGCTGGCCAGTCCCCACAGCCAGGGTCTCCGTGTGCCTGGCCACAGTGACCCAGGAGGGAAGCCACCTGGGCACAGGGAGAGCTGCCTGGGCTCAGGTTTTATCCCTGGAATTCCTTTCAGGCTGGCTGTGGTGTCGCCTGGCCTCAGTCCTCTATGGTGGCTCACTGCACACAGGGCCACTCTCAGCCTTTTTAGCCTGCAAAAGCTGTCATCTGTGTCTACTCTGGAAGCTACTGGCGAGGCAGGCAGGCAAGGGGCAGCCAAAAAAGGGAGGGATGGAGAAGGGGGTGGAGGGAGGAACTAGAGACGGGGAGCGCACTGAACGGGGCCCGAGGGCCGGGACACCCGCGCCAGGCACCAGCCCACTCCCTGGTGAAGGAACGAATGAAGAATTGAAAGGCATCAGTCTGTTGGGGTGAGCGCAGGGTGGGGACTGATGACAGAGGTCTGGGGTATAAAGCAAGCAGTGCGCTCAGCCCGTCTGCAGATACCAGCCTGCCCAGATGAGAAGCACCACCCTGCCAGGGCATCTGGAGCTGGGCGCTGCTTCAGACAAGGCCAAGAGGTTCCGTGATCAGAGCAGGGTCTGTCATCCAAGGCTGGTGGGCAACCTGCCCAGCACCAGCATCAGAGCCCAGCATGTGTCATGAGAAGGCTGAGCCTATCTTTGCAGCCACCTCCACCATCCTAGGCAGGCAAGGCTGCAGAGAGTATACCGGGAGTGCCACGTCCCTCTGCACCCCGGCTCTGCCGATGCCCCACAGACAGGGGTCTAGAACCTGCAGTCCTAATGGATACAAGAGCTGGAACTGAGATGCGCCCTGGCTCGAAGCTGAGAAAGCCTGGGAAGCTGCATCCAGGCACTCAGGCCATGGCCTGAAGCCAGCCGGCCCCACACCCAGACCCTCCCACGGTTTCACCTGGCAGCCAGCGTCTGAGTGCTCGGTCCCCGCAGCCAGTCTAAAGCACACTCAATTCCTAATTCAACTCAAGGGCTCTGGAAAGGCCTAAACTGCGGTAAATTATTCTGGTGGCTTTAATCTAAGTCTAGAGCACCAAGGACTGCTGGTTAGGGAGAAGCTGCCACCAGGTCCCCCGGGGAGCATGCACCTGCTGATGGAGGAGCTTCTCTCTCCTCCTGCTGTCTGGCGGCCAGAGGCTTTGCCCAGAAAGGCCCTACCTCCCATGGCAGGTGCCTGTTCTTGCTGCCATACAGGGCCCTCGCTGGCTCGTCCTGCCCTGCAGCCTCGCATTGTGCCCCATCTGCTGTCGGGGAGGGTGAGCGGCTGGCTGTGTGGATGTGCTTAATCTCAGGCGGCTTGCCCTCCCCCTATGCTCACCCAGGAGCCCTCTCGGGCTGACAAACACTGGCATAGGGGAGTCATTTTGTAGGAAATCTGCCTTTAAGCACTTGAGAGAGCTGGGTAGCCTGATGGGGAGGAAGGACCCGAAAGTACCTCAAAGGTGGGTAAGGCAGATGCTGCTCTGTGGGAGAAAGGGCTGGGCAGCAGGCATTACCTGGGGACACACTTGTGCACTCCAGTGCCCTGGGAAACCTCACAACCTTGCCCCTCACCCACTTTGGCCAGGTATACCCTCTCTGCCTGCAGGGCCTGGCCCCAGAAAGCGTCTGCCTCGCCTCGCCTGCTGACACACTGTCCATTAATTTTCTGCTCTGGGCCGGGCATGGTAGTCACACCTATAACCCCAACACTTTGGGAGGCCAAGGCAGGCAGATGACAAGGTCAAGAGATCGAGACCATCCTGGCTAACATGGTGAAACCCCATCTCTACTAAAAATGGAAAAAGGAGCTGGGTGTGGTAGTGCGCACACCTGTAGTCCCAGCTACTTGGGAGGCTGAGGCCGGAGAATTGCTCGAACTTGGGAGGCGGAGGTTGCAGCCCTCCGTCCCGAGTCCACTGCTGGCCAAGGGCCAGCCACCCTGTCTCCCACAGCCACCATCCCTGAGCTGAGATTGTGCCTGGCACAATCTGCACTCCAGCCCGGCAACAGAGCGAGACTCTGTCTCTAATAATAATAACAATAATAATAATAATACTTTTCTGCTCCTCTTTGAACCCACTGCCTAGTACAGGCCAGCAAAGAGCAGGAGCCCAGAGCTCATAGCAAGGCCCAAGAGAACGGAGCACTGTACCAGCGAGAGCAAGCAGAAGGCTCCCCCAAAATGTGTACCCACAGGCGGGCTGGCCACCTTGGGGTACCACCTCAGGGGCCTTCCTGTGCGGCTGCTTTCCCTACCTTGAGCTCTTTCCTGGCAGCAAGAGTCACTCTGGCTCCTGTTCAGGGGCTACATCAGCCACCTCCTCCAAGCCTGGGACGGAGCAGCTCTTCCTGCTCTAAAAGGAAACTGCAGGGCCTGTAGTCCCAGCTACTGGGGAGGCTGAAGCTGGAGGGTGAGTTGAGCCCAGGAGTTCAAGGCTGCAGTGAGCTACGATAGCATCACAGCGCTCCAGCCTGGGTGACAGAGTGAGACTCTGTCTTCACACAAACAAACAACAACAAAAACTGCACCCTGGGCCAGGCACAGTGGCTCACATCTGTAATCCCAGCACTTTGGGAGGCTGAGGCAGACAGATCATGAGGTCAGGAGTTCAAGACCAGCCTCGCCAACATAGTGAAACCCCGTCTCTACTAAAAAAAAAAAAATACAAAAAACTGTACTCCAAAGTCGCCGTTAGTGGGTCATCATCTTCTCTAGGCCAATCAGTTCCTCCTTGCCCCAGTGAGGGGCAGGACCCTCAGGGTACCTCCTTGTCCGGGTAGAATCCAAATGCTCTGGCCCAAGGCCATGGTTATTAGAAACCTGAAGGGCGCTGAGCTTGTGATCACAGGGGCAGCTCCTGTTGATGAGTCTTTTATGAGCACCAGGTGGAAGCATGGGTGCATTTAACCTGACACACGCAGCCAGGAAGCTTTGAAAGATGGAGTGCCCTGGCCGAGGGTCTCAGGGCTCAGAAAAGCCTCGAGGTGGTGACTGCTGCCCAGGACTCTGTTGGGTCACCCTCTATCCTGGAGATCCCCAAGACCTCCATAGCAACACCTCTACCCGTTCACACGTGCCGTCAGCCCCCCCTCCCGAGTCCAACGCTGGCCAAGGGCCGGCCACCCTGCCTCCCACAGTCGCCATCCCTGGGAAGGAGCCCTAACCCCATCCTTACACCCCTCTACACTCATCGCCTTTGGGGAGAGCTGCTCGCTGTCACAGGCGTCCAGAGGGCAGGGGACCATGTTGTCGTGCATGGAATGAACCTGGCCACACATAACAGATACGGTGGCGCTTTGGCCGGCTCTGGGAGAATCTGTCCTATAGGGTGAGGTTAGAACCCTCCTGAGTGACCAGGCACCGAGCCCCTGCTTCAAGTGCTCACTTATGATTATGGTCCTGATTTGGTCAACTGTTCCTCAGGGGCTCCAGGAGGATGAGTGTGTATCCTCCCCTTGCGCTGTGCAGCCTCTAACCTCTAGAGTCTAGCGGTCTGGGGAGAAGGTAGGAGATGGGAGGTGTGGGGTCTGGCCAGTGCGGCCGGTGCCTGGTGACCTCAGGAGGTGGGACATCATCATCTTCAGGGCTGTCGTTGTTACTGGGGCGCCAGCTACGGGAGACCAAAGGTGCAGCCAGCACAGCAGGACCTTAGAGAAGGCACCCAGCCTCAGTTTCCCCATCTGGGAAGGGGGCTGCCTGTGGGCTAGAAGCCGCCCGGACTCCTGCGCAAGACTAGATCATGGATACCCCCGCGTGGCCACACCCACGGGGCCACCCCCACGGGACACCCCCGCCCCAGCCGCGCGGACACCCTCACGAGGACACCCCCAGGCGGACACCCAGGCTCCGGGCGCGCGGACACCTGCCACGAGGACGCCGCGGCCCCAACCTACCTCCGGCGCCCCGCGCCGCGCCCCGCACCCCGCCCGCCACGGCCGGCGTCCGCCACCGGAAACGCCCTCCCAGCGCCCGCAGCGCCGCCGCCATCGCCGCCATCGTCGCGGGGCCTCCCGGGCGGCCGGGGCTGCCCGCCGCGCTGCCTGCGCCCGCCGGGGCGGGTCCTGTGCCAGCGCGCGCCGCCGCGGCCGAGGTGAGAGCGCCGGCCCGACGGGGGCCGGACTGGGGCGGGGGCCTCCGGACCCGGGGCGGGACCTCGGGGTGGGGCGTGCGAGTCCGACCGAGGCGAAGGGATCTGACTCGGGGCGGGGCTCTCGGACCTGGGGGGAGGGCTCTGACTTGGGGTGGGGAGCCCTGGATGGGGAGGGAGCCGACTTCTGGCGGGGAAGGAGGGGGTCTCCGAACCCGGGTCGAGGAGCTACGGATGGGGGTGAGGAATTCGGACCTTGGGTGGGGGTCTCTGGACCGGGGCGGGATCCCCAGACTCCTTGTGGGAGGCTGAGGTTGAAGACTTGTGCTGGGGTGAGGGGCTCCAGATAGGGGTGGGGTTCCAGACCAGGAGGATAAGTCTGTCCCTGGACTAGGGCTTGACCTGATGAGGGTGTGGCAGCGTCACAGGGGAGGGCCCCACTTGGTCCTTGGGCTGGGATCAGACTCTCAGAGCTGGAGAGTTGCAGGGGGCCTGGAGGAGGGTCTCTGGAGCCCCAGATTCCGAGGGCCTTGGTGACCTCGCTAACAGGTGTCCTGTTGGAGGCCTCGGAGTACCCCAGGCCTTCCACTGCAAAAGAGTGGCGGCTCCACCAGGAGCTGTGTGGTGTGCAGGGCCACGTGGGAATGTTAGAGAAAGAGGAAGTCCTTGCTAACGGACCTGCTTTTTGGGTTTTTCCAGCCAGGGGTTTTTGTGTCCTGTTGCTTTTAACTGTTTAAAGTGACCCTCCAAGCCTGAGGGACCATAAGAGCTGTCCTGCAGGACCCAGTGAGACACTAGTTAATACAGAAAAAAACGGATTTTTACTTACTAACTACTGACAACATGAGAAAAAGCTGGCTTCATGTCAACACGCCTGGAGTGTAAAGGGAGAGTGAGGGAGTGGGAAGGGATGGGGACTCAGCAGAGTTAGGGAAGTGGAAAAGCACCAACACCGGGAAGGGAGGGTTGGCCCTAGTGAAATCAACTGATCTGGGGGTGCCCCTGGGGCTTACTGAAGTCAGGCCACCAACCTCCCACAGACTGGGAGACCGCGAGCTCATCCTCAGGCTTTGGACGAAACTCACAGGAAATTCTTGTGGCAGCCTTGAGTTTCTCAGGCAGGCACGTTAAAAGGCGCTATGATCGTTCCAGGAATGTGGCCTTGAGCTCTTAGGAGCTGTCAGTGTTCGTTCCAGCCTGGATAGGCCAGGGCGACGAGGCCCAGTGGAGGGAGCCTGGCTGGAGTTTGGCGAGGGAGACTTTGTCAGCAACCCTCCTGTGCACAAACAGCAGAGACAGGCTTCTTTGCTCTCTGAACAGTTCCCCATCCATTTTCTGTTCAGTGCTGTGTTCATAAAGTACTAGCGGGACCATCTGTCAACACTTGGTAGCAAAGGATTTTTGCTGGATGATGCAAGCAGTCAAGCATTTAATGAGGAAACAAAAATAAAAATAGGCCGGGCATGGTGACTCATATCTGTAATGCCGGCATTTCTGGAGGCTGAGGAGGATCACTTGAGACCAGGAGGTTGAAACCAACCTGGGCAACATAGTGAGATCCCCATCTCTACAAAAAAAATTTAAAAATTAGCCGGGCATGGTGGTATGCGCCTGTAGTTCCAGCCACTCGGGAGGCTGAGGTGAGAGAAACCTTTGAGCCTGGGCGGTGGAGGCTGCCATGAGCCGTGATCATGCTTCTGTACTCCAGCCTGAGCAACAGAGAGAGACCCTATATTAAAACAACGAAACAGGCCGGGTGCGGTGGCTCACGCCTGTAATCCCAGCACTTTGGAGGCCAAGGCGGGCGGATCACCTGAGGTCAGGAGTTCAAGACCAGCCTGACCAACATGGTGAAACGCTGTCTTTAAAAATGAAATAAAATAAAATAAAGTTAGCCAGGCACTGTGGCAGGCCCTTGTGTAGTCCCCGCTACTCAGGAGGCTGAGGCGGGAGTGCTAGAGCCCAGGAGTTCAAGGTTGCAGCAACCTGATCGCAGCAGAGGCGATCACACCACTGCACTCCAGCCTGGGTGACAGAGCAAGAACTTGTCTCTTAAAAAAAAAAAAAAACGAAGAAGGAACAGCTGTGTTAGTGTGTGTTTGTTCAAGGCTTGGTAGGCCAAGGTGAGGCTCCGCTGAGAAACATGCTCAGAGGAGCCTCGCTGGAGTGTGATGGGGGAGTCTTTGTCGAGGCTGCTGCCATGGTGGGCCTCAGGACCCATGTCCTGGGCGCTGGAGGGTGGAGCTGCCACCCGGCCTTGAGGAGAGCAATGACGTAGTCAGATTCCACTCACATCCAGTGCGGGCTGGACACAGGCCTGGCCCAGAGCCCGGTCTAGATGCCAAGGCTTTGTTCACAGTCCCCAGGAGCTGCCAGAATCATCCCTATTCCCAGGCAGGGCAGGCTGTCTACTCTATGGCTCTCGGGCTCAATCCAGTGGGGCAGATGGCAGGCCTGCACATCACCCTGCTAGGCATATCCAGGCCCTTTCTGCCCCTCCCTAAAGGCACCCCTGTCCTTTCTGTCCCCTCCACGCAGAGCCGAGCCAGCCTGCACTCTTGCCCCAGGCCTGTCCTCTGCTGGGAACCTGGACGCGGAGCTAGTTCTGTTTGAACAGGTTGACCTGAGGGCGGCCTCCAAGCAGGTGCCAAGGCAGAATCTGATGTGGCCAGGAAGGATAAAGGATATCCCTGGAAGAATAAAGGGAATGTGCGACCACCATGCAGATCTGGGCCGTGGCAGGGAGAGGAGGGGGCCCCCTGCGGGGCCACAGTAAAGGAGTGGAGGGAACCCACGGGCGGGGGTGGCCCAGCGGCCCCCCAGAGCCATGGATCTGCAGGTGCAGAGCAGCCTCTTGCCTCTTGCATCCGCCCCTTGGTGTGTCTGTGAAGACAAAGTCACCGTGATCCCTGCAGCACCTGGCAGGTGTGCAGCCCGTGTGAAAGCTTTCCCCTTAGCTCTTAAGTATTGAGTCAAAGAAACAAACAGCGAGGCTCGGTGGCTCACGCCTGTAATCCAAGCACTTTGGAGGCCAAGGCGGGCGGATCACCTGAGGTCGGGAGTTCAAGACCAGCCTGACCAACATGGTGAAAGCCCGTCTTTAAATTTAATAGAATAATTTAAAAAAAAGAAAGAAAGAAAGAAAGAAAAACAAACACTGAAAAACAAAAACAAAGCCTTCCCCTGAGCCTGGGGACCTGGCCCAACTGAGAATACCAGGCAGGGGAAGCCACAGGAGGCTGCCCTCTGCATGGCCCTGTAACCTTCCATTCTGACCCCTTCCCTTCCACACCAGCCCCTTTCCCCACGTGGGGTGCAGTCTTTATTGCAACTGCTCACCTCTGCCGTGGTCGGGTGAGAGCAGCCGCAGCCAGTGTGTGTGCAATTGTGGGTTCTTTTTTTTTTTTTTTTTTTTTTTTTTTTGAGACGGAGTTTCGCTCTTGTTACCCAGGCTGGAGTGCAATGGCGCGATCTCGGCTCACCGCAACCTCCCCCTCCTGGGTTCAGGCAATTCTCCTGTCTCAGCCTCCTGAGTAGCTGGGATTACAGGCACGCACCACCACGCCCAGCTAGTTTTTTGTATTTTTAGTAGAGACGGGGTTTCACCTTGTTGACCAGGATGGTCTCGATCTTTCGACCTCGTGATCCACCCGCCTCAGCCTCCCAAAGTGCTGGGATTACAGGCTTGAGCCACCGCGCCCAGCCAATTGTGGGTTCTTTATTCTTTTTCTTTTCCTTTAGTTTTGAGACAGAGGTTCCACTCTTGTTGCCCACTCTGGAGTGCAGGGGCACAATCTCAGCTCACTGCAACCTCCCACTCCGGGGTTCAAGCAATTCTCCTCCTGCCTCAGCCTCCCAAGTAGCTGGAATGACAGGCATACACCACCATGGCCGGCTAATTTTGTTCGTATTTTTAGTAGAGATGGGGGTTTCACCATGTTGATCAGGCTGGTTTTGAACTTCTGACCTCAGGTGATCCACCCACCTCAGCCTCCCAGAGTGCTGGGATTATAGGCGTGAGCCTCCGTGCCTGGCCAACTGTGCGTTCTGATAAAGCGTCATCTACAGAAATAGCAGGCAGGCCCCTCACAGGGTGCCCAGGGCAGGTTCACTGTCTCGCCTCTTCTCAGGTGTCAGGGGGTGAGAGGTTGGTCCTCTGCGTCCTCCTTCCTCTCAGGAGAGTGCTGCCAGAGAGAGATGAGGCCCCACCTGGATCTGATGGAGTTTACCGTGGTGCTGGTGGATGGTGATGGTGATGTTTTAGAGACATGGTCTCTGTTGCCCAGGCTGGAGGGCAGTGGTGAAATCCCAGCTCACTGCAGCCTCCAGCTCCTGGGCTTAAACAACCCTCCCACCTCAGCTCCCCAAGTAGCTGCAGCTACAGGCACACCACCATGCCCGCTTGATGGGCATTTTGTGACCATTAAACTTCTGGTGATTTCTTTTTTTTTTTTTTTTTTTTTTTTTGAGACGGAGTTTCGCTCGTTACCCAGGCTGGAGTGCAATGGCGTGATCTCGGCTCACCGCAACCTCCGCCTCCCGGATTCAGGCAATTCTCCTGCCTCAGCCTCCTGAGTAGCTGGGATTACAGGCATGAGCCACCATGCCCAGCTAATTTTTTGTATTTTTAGTAGAGATGGGGTTTCACCATGTTGACCAGGATGGTCTCGATCTCTTGACCTCGTGATCCACCTGCCTCGGCCTCCCAAAGTGCTGGGATTACAGGCGTGAGCCACCGCGCCCAGCCCTCTGGTCATTTCTTTAGATTCCCGGAGGCTGGATGGAGGTGAGTGGCCAGCCCCTGGTCCACAGATGAGCACAGGGCTAGGCTGAGGCGGTGGGGTCTCCCAGGCTGGCCTCCAAGCTGTCCTTTTAGTCTGTCCACAGGCCCCGCCCAAGGGTGTGGCCTGCCTGCTGCTGCCTGGTCTGTCTCTGAGCACTTGGGCTGGTTCTCCCTGGATGACTGGATCGCAGTCAGATCTCCTGCTGGAGTCCTGGTGCCCCTTTATCCCCCCGGATCAGCCCAGAGGAGCAGGTCAGCTTGCACCAGTTCCAGCCTTTGCTGGGGGTTT